CAAAAGAAAAGGTGGAATCTGTGTTTTTTGTTTTTCATGCCCAGTTACAGATGCCCTTTCATGATTACCATCATTTCAAAGTAAGAAGAGAAGGTGGAATCTGTTTTTTTGTATTTTTTATACCGGAAATCGGGTAGGTGTGCACAGAGAAGAAGTCCATTCATTCCATTTTGCGATTACACTCACTGTGACTCACTTCGAAGTTACAAGAGGGTCATTCTGTGTATACGTGCTCTGTGTCTATAGACTATACGTGTACCTGTGTTTATGCCCAATGAGTGGGAGCATGATGAACACGAGAATGAATGCTGCTGAGTGCTGCCCTCTTCCCCCGAGCCCAACGCACCCTCATTTTGACTGTATTGACCCTCATTTTGACTGTATCGGGCCGGAAGAGTGGGAACATGATGAACGGGAGAATGAATGTTGCTGAGTGCTACCCTCTTCCCCCGCACCCTCATTTTGATTGTATTGACACTCATTTTGACTGTATCGTGCCGGAAACAATACGTTCATTTTCAGGGTGCATTATGTTAGGGGGAAGACCGTAAGACCGTAGTGTGATGAACGCGACAATACATCTCGCCGAATGAGCGGGAGCGTGACGACTGCGTGAACAAATGCGCAGGGCTTGCGCAGGGCTTGCAGACCTGGGAACCCCTGAGGCGTGACTAAGCAGTGTTTTCGAATGTCGTATGGCACAGCCGTGTCTGACGTGACAAGGCGTGACAAGGCGTGATGGAGCACTAGCTGTACAGGAGGGTCACACCATCCTAACTGTACCTGTGGAGCTTTTTTTTTTTTTTTTTTTTTTTTTTTTTTTTTTTTAAACCCAAGCAGGTACTAGGGCCCTAGGGGAGCTGGTAAGAGGAGGCACCACTAGCACTGACCAGGATGCTCCATCTATTGGTGGGGAGCAGCACCTGCTGGAAATCGGGTCCAGTGTCCCTGAACATTATTATGAACATTGAGGATGATTGTGCGAACAGATTTGCAGTTGTAAATTGTAATAGCAGCGGTCCTTTTTTGAAACTTCCACCGAGTACCTACAGGAGAGCTTCAGCTTCTGGAACCTTGCAGATGCAAGCTAGTCCTCTTCACCCTTCGTCAGGGCGCCAAATGCCATCTATCTACTCCCGGTGCTGTGTCATCTGCACCTTCTTCTTTCTACCTCCGAGTTATGCCCCCCTTCTATACCTGTTCTTGCTTACCATCCATACTTTCCTTCGCCATTGTTTCCAAACTGTAGAGCTGTGCCCTACCTATGCTACCTTGAGCATCAACCCCTTGCCCTTCAGTCCCTTGTTCCTCCGAAAATTCCCCATGTGTTTCCCGTTACTCAAAGAAATTCTGCGCTACCAGGCTCATCGAGGCTGGTGGGAAAGGGTCCGGGAAGTCTGAAGGCGGTCGAAGTACGATTGAGGGGTCAAGTGTCGTCCAATCATGGAAGCAGAGCTGGTATTTCCTGTGTGGAGCTTACCTGAGGCGCATTGGCAAATTGCAGATGTACCAGTTTGGAGAACAGTCCTAGCAATTATACCCGTCCGACGACGTATTGTGACAGAGAAACACGTTTTGTTGCAGCCCAGCCATTTTAGATATGTTTCTACGCAGATATACCCCCGTGGCTGTGATTGGGAAAAGTGGGAATACAACCTTATACCGCATTCTTCGGTGAAACACTGACAAGGCTCAACTGCAGGCCCCATTGATAAATCTCATCGGCAGGTCCGGTTCATTTCAGCCTCAGAAACGAGCCGGAACCTCCCTGCGGCCGATGTACGTGATAGGTAATGGTCCTTTAAACTACCAGTACCTTTCCCATATGTCCGCCACAGGCATTGCGCGCCAGCCCGAAATGAGGAACGGGCCGCCGATTCGATTTATCGGTGGTGGCCCTTTCATTTCAGGCCACTGCGTTACCCGGCACGTCTCAATAAAATGGTTGGGAAAGGTACTGGTGCCACCCGGTTTAAACCACCAGTACACCCGCACCTAAAATCCCGAACCTACCTGCCCACTGCGCGCCACTATTTTCCGGGAATTCTGCATGAGGGTACCGGCAGTGGGAATTTCGGAAGTGGCACTGGTGCTGGCGGTCCGCCTGAAGGGAAAAAAGAAAAGAAACGAAAAGAAAAGAAAAGAAAAGAAAGGAACAAACATGCCAGAGAGCAGTGATGGAGTGAAAGGAGGTCATGGAGGCCATGCAAATGATCACTTTCCTGAATGCACCTGGCCACTATTTAGAAGTTGTTTGGAATGTTTACACACATGTGGGACCCATTCAAAGAGATCGTAAATATGGGAATTATAGTAAAATATATTACCGACTCTGGTTCGGAACAGAAGAACTCAAAAAGTTTCTTCGAATTCTCTTGCCATATATTCCTGTTCAAAGTATGCTAAGGAAAACGATATTGCTTTACAGACGCCTTTTTGAAACTAAAAGTTAATAATTGTTTGAGGGGAGAGGGAAAGGTTGCTGTTTTTCCTTTTTTTCTTGTTTTGTTTTTTTCTTCCTGGCCCTGCCAGCAAGGTAGCGCATACTCCTCTTGCTCAAAAAGCCCTCGCTGAGGGCATACTCACACTAGCGATGTTGAAATGCATCCAACCACTCTCACGGCAGAAGCGTTGTTGGCTTTTTTTTTTTTTTGTTCTGTTTTTGAGAGTCCGACAGTCCTGCTATCTGTGTTCTACGTTCTGCTGAAGTTCCCTCACTGAGGGCAAACTCGCACGAGTACTCCAAAAAGTGTATCCAACTACAATCACGGCCAAAGCTTGTTTTGTTTTTTGGGATGTACGGATTTGAGATGGGCCCAAAAATTTGAAACCTTCTGACGCTCCGACCCTGCCCCGAGCCCGCCTTTAACTTCTTGTGGCGACAAGTTATTCTTCTGCAAAGCTGAGGTCGTGTACTGGTAAGAGCAACAACCTTGTTCTTTTTTTTTTTTTTTTTTTTTTTAACACACACCCTGCAGTGCTAGCGCTGCTAGTAAGAGCAGGCATCACTAGCACCCGGGGAGAGGCTCCACCTATTGGTGGGGGGCGTTACCTGCTGGAAAACAGGTCCAGCGTCCCTAACACTGAAAGATCAGGATGAATCAGGAGAATGTCAGGACGCCTGCCAGCATTGATTGCTCTGTCTCCAGAGGATTGACTGTGCAGGTTGTTGGGAAAAGGGAACAAACCTGTTGGCCCTGTACCAGGTGCCAGATTCCTACTGCTGAGAGACTAGCTCCTCCCTCTCCCAAGTATCTTTTATCCAACAAAACAACTTTACCCCCTCATCCCGCACTATCAATCCCTCTTTTCCACTCTTACATCAGGTCGATACTCAGACAGATACACAGGGGCTAGGTGACGCCTGTCAGCATTGAGCATTGAGTGCTCTGGGTTCCAGAGCGCCAGATAACTACTGATGGAAGGGGAGAGGAGCAACAACCTCCCAAGGGTGCTCAACAACGAACCAATCCGTGACTCATCACTAAATAATTTTGGTAAATGCCAGGAATGCTGCTGGGTGGGTGTGAACTCCATCTGTCGCCCGGAACTGTGGGAACATAGTAACTGTTGAGAAAGGTTGACGTAGTAGAGTAGGTTTCCTTCATGCAAAAATGATGAGAAAGGACTTCATAGGAGGGCACTCTCACCACCTCCCATAGTAGGCTGGAGCCGGCTTCAAAAAAAAAAGGAAAAAGGAAAAAAAAGGGAAAAAAGAGAAAAAAGGACTACATAGCTTATCCAGATTGCAGTGATTGGGACCAAGCCACGGCTATCTCAAGGTCACCAGGAAAGCTGTACGCTAACAACTAAAAGTACCAGCAACAACTGTACGACACACCGCCAATGAAACTAGACCTAAAAGCAGAGCAAAGCAAAAGGGGCAGTTACAACTTTTACAAGGTTACCTAAGGGCACCCGCTGCAATTTCTTCGACAGAAGTTGTACTGAAAACAACTAAAGTGAGCAATCCGCACAAATGTGCAAAAGCACAACTAAAGACGTACTAAGCAATCTTGTGTTGTGAACCACATGACAAAGAAGTTGGTGTAATGAAGACAACGGAAGTGAGCAATCTGCACCAATTTGCAAAAGCACAAGTAAAGATGTAAGCACAAGTAAAATAGAAGGGAAATTCAATGTCTGATACTCTTTCAAAACCACATGACAAAATGGCGAAAACAAAATCAAAACCTTTTCCAGCCATTTTGCCGAGACATGCAGGGTAACGTGGTGGCCTGAAACGAAAGGGCAACCGCCGATAAATCGAATCAGCGGCCCGTTCTTCATTTCGGGCCCTTGCACAGTGCCCGCGGCCGGCATATGGGAAAGGTACTGGCGGTCTTAATACAATAAGGGGAAACTATGTGGGAGTCACAAAAATGAGTTATAATCATACTTGCAACCGTACTGCGTGCCGCACCGTCCGGTGGGCCGTACGGGTCCGGTCCAGGATCTTGCCATCTGACCTACAGGCCCGTACCCGTACCAGACAGGACCGCACTGTGTCCGGTAGGGCCATGTCCCGTCCGGTGCGGTTTCGTGCGTGAACTGTGCAGGGAGGTCCGATACCCCATCCGATGCTGTGCAGAAACAATTTAATTTTTATTGTGAGGTGGGAATGGCAGCAGTAGTAGCAGAATAAGTGGCAGTGTTTTGGGCTGGAATGAGTGGATGAGTGGATGGGGGAAGGAATCAGGAGGGAATCAGGGGGCAGCAGTAGTAGCAGAATGGCATGTGAATTTGTCACTAGCTGCAACCTGTTTTCCAGCAGGTGAAGCTCCCCACTAATAGACTGGAGCGCCAGGCGGACAGGTACTAGGGAGTGATGCTCTTATGACCCTGTCTAGTACCTCGAACCCTGTTACAAAAAAAAAACAAAAAAAACAAAGAAAAGAAGGTACCTACGCAGGCAGTGGGCTCAGATCATTGAGGTGCACAGTGGGCTCAGAAAAAAAAAGAAAAAAAAGGAAAAAAAAAAAGATATGTAATGCACCTGATGCAGAAACGCTGCGCCGTGATCATTGAATCTGCAAGCAGCAAATGAAACCGAACACAAAACAGAACAACAGCAAAGTGCAAATACATGCAAAGTTGCCAAGTAGCGAACTTCAAGAGAAGAAAGCAGAAAACTGCAGTGCTGTCCATAAATATTGAAACTTTGAAGTTAATGTCATGAGAATGATGCTCATTTGGAGGGATACCCTCGAAAAAGCGCACCCACCCAATCTACTGTTGTCCTCCATCGACAGCATTGTCACCACCCGCCTCACTCCCTTGATCCTCACCCCCTTCGTCTTCACTCCCTACACCCTTACAATGATGTTCGTCACCAGCAGATGATGCAGAAGGTGAACACGGCGACGATGATGATGATGAAGACGAGGACGACGCTTCACAATCGTCATCATCCAAGATAGCCGACATCCACTTCCCGGCCTGTTTCATTGCCTCTTTTGTGACCAGGCGGGAGGATGTCAGGACATCTGGAGCTGCAGCAGCCGCTTTCCTGGGGCGTCCTCTCTTCTTTTTCTTGGGCGGTGAAAGATGTTTTTCGGCACGGCGTTTTCCCGCAACATGGACTTCAGCAGCGTGTTGTTGCTGCCGTCCTTTTGCTCTGCTGCTGCCCCCTGGGCATCTACCTTCCACCCAGTCGCCTGTCTCTTGTGCGTGCAATGAACACTCACGGTCCTGAACGTTGTACTCCACTAAGTGGTCTGCTCGTTCGTGCCCCGATCTCCTCCTCAACAAGCGTTCTCTATGCCTCCCCGGTGCAGTGCAGAACTGCCAGTCATTTGTGTAGTTCTCGATATGTGCGATGTCATCCTCTTTGGCCATCATGTCGTCAAGTCTTTCATTGTGCAACCACCTCCTTGCCAAAAGCAGATCACCTTCATCGTCCAGCTCTGCAAATGACAGCCCTATGATCGTCGTTTGCGCCAGCCCCCACATCCCCGGTGCTCTCCTTTACTTTTTGCACCCACTCGTTGTAATAGCGCTCTGCCTCCACCTTATTCTCCACATCCGGTAAGTCCTCCATCCATAGGATGTGGACATCGTCTTGGCCAGCCCCCTTCTCTTGCCTCCACTGTCAGTGGAGATTCCAATTATTGTACAAAGGCTTCGCAAGACGGCCTGGCAGCAACTTCGTCCTTGTCCTGCCGAACATGAGCTCATGCAAGCTCCAGTTGTGCTCACAAGCAGCAGAGGAGCTTGCCTGTCTGAGCAGCTTGATCGCTTGGGGCTGCAGGAGGTTCAGCCTTGACCCAAACGAGTCTCACCACATGGAGAGGGTCTTCAATCGTGCCCCATCCTATGCCTATTTTGACACCAATGCACCCTTCATGCGAACCCATTCGTCTACTTGCCAACTGATGTCCTTCAAAATGTCTGACGCGTCCTATGTGTACAACTATATGTTGAAGCTCGTCCGGATCTCCGTATTGTGAATGGCAGACTGTGCACAGAACTACGAATAAAAAAATGTTGCTCCACAATAAAACTCTGACGTCATGAATGCACATTGATCAATGAGGATCAATTCCACCTCCGCTTTCTCAAAGTCCGTACTAAGAACTGCAACTTCTTGATTCCCTCCACTACGGCGTCCATATGATGATATACCTTTTTGATGGTGCCCCCCGGACCATCCACCATCTTTGGCAACTTCACGATAGTCTCCGTAGCATTGGTGGACTTCTCAATATCGTCCCAAAAGTTGTCGTCAAGGATAGTGGTCGTGGCTTCCTCAAAGCAGGACCGCAAATCGGTTCCCACCATGTTAGGCACCCATCCCTTCGTGTCTGCAGCATGTTGGAGGGCATTCCTTTGGTCCAAAACAGACTGCAACATGATAATATTCGTTGCGAATCTTGTCACTCAGGCTCCCGACCTCTTTCTATGTGCCCTACTTGAACATTCAAGGAAGAATGCGCGAACCTTGTCGTGGTTTATGTTCGACTTCCCCAAATCGTTCGCTCTCTTCACCATTCTGGAAAATCATCCAATGCACTTCTCAAAGTCCTCCAATACAATGTCGAGAGTGTGCGTTGTGCAACCGACCCAAGGAAGAATGCACGAACCTTGTCGTGGTTCATGTTCAACTTCCCTAACTCGTTCGCTCTCTTGACTGTCCTGGAAAATCATCCAATGCGCTTCTCAAAGTCCTCCAATACAAGGTCGAGAGAAGGTTAACAACAGCCGTATATTTCATCACCACTTCAGGCCACACTTCACCACTTCAGGATGGAGCCTGCCTTAACACGTGGTTTTCAGGGTCTTCGGACCTTTGACCACTTCAAGACCATTCAGGTTTGAAAATCCTGAATGGTCCTGAAGTGGTGAAAGCTCCAAAGACCCTGAAAACCACCTGTTTAGGCAGGTTGCATCCTCAAAAGTGGTGAAGGGTGGTTTTCATGGTCTTCGGACCTTTCACCACTTCAGGGTCATTCAAGATTTTCAAACTGCCCAAAACTCTCACTTGACCACTTCAGGGTCTTCGGACCTTTCACCACTTCAGGATCATTCAGGATTTTCAGACTGCCAAAAACTCTCACTTCAGAATTTTCATTTTTGAACTTTTAGCTACCCGATAACTGCTTGTGACAACGTCGACGGTGTGCGTTGTGCAACCGACCCTGAAGATCCAAGGGACCAAGGGTATTTTTTTTCAATAAGCTTCCCCAACTTAACACAAACTCTCGCATTGTCCATGATCACCCCGGCCACACTCTTGGGTCCAAAAACGTGGATCACAGCATCGTGGATGTTGTAGTACGCTATGAAATCTTTCTTCTTCCCTTTTACACAAACAGAATTCCAAAAGACAGTCTCTATAGGGGAGGAGACCATCACATTGATGTGCGGTCTCCCTTGCCTATCGGACCACCCATCCGCCTGCACCATACACCTTGTCCTCTTCCACTTCTTTGCAATCATCCGCACATCCTCGACGCACCTCTTGTTCTGGTCAGCCAATCTACTATTTCTCGCAGGCTCCCTGTTGTGCATCCACCATGCGCGATGGACATTCCGTATAGCATCGACCATGTCAAGGTAAAATTCATTCTGGACCATATAAAAAGCTTGGTTCGTGCAGGTAAGTCAGATGTTGACCTTCCTTGATGTTATCTCGTTCTTCGTGATGATGTTATTTGTCTCCTCCATCATCATTTCCTGCACAGATGAAGCGGATCATCGCATGTCAGATGATGCAATCGCTCTTCCCTTGTCCCTACCTACGTTATTCAAACTCGTCGGCGCAGCAAACAAACTAGACTCACTAGGAAGATTGTTTTTGTCATCTACCATCACCACGTCAGCCAGAGTCAGTCTCAACCCTTGCTTCCTTGTTTTTTTTTCTTCGTCTGTGAATGTTTTTTTGCTCTGCTGTGTCGCACAAGATCCCTTCGAGTAATGTTCCTTGATACGGTTCAGGGTGCCCGAGAATTTCAAATTGTAGTATTTGCAGATTCCCCATTTGCCATCCATGCTTGCATCTTTCTCTGGGACCTCGTCTACGTGGCAATGTCGCTTTACCATGGCCTGAGTGAAAAATTGAAAATGTACTTGCTACTCGCCATTTTGACCTGAAGACAAGGAGAATCGTTGAACAGAAGCCACAAAATCAACCTCATCCTGCATTATCTCTAGAGAACACCCTCTATCCACCCCTCCTTCCCATTCGCCCCCTCCCTCCCTCCCTCCTAAGCACCGCATGAAAGTAGAAGCAAAAGAAAAAAAAAAAAAAAAAAAAAAAAAACCNCCTTCCCATTCGCCCCCTCCCTCCCTCCCTCCTAAGCACCGCATGAAAGTAGAAACAAAAAAAAAAAAAAAAAAAAAAAAAAAAAACCCGACCAATTGTCTTTTCCCACAAAACAGTTACTATTTTGCTATGATTTGTGAACCATTTGCCACATTCTGCAACGGAAGATAGAGGAGGGGGAAAAGGGAGGAGGAAGAGGAGGACGACGACGAGACGAGATGTCGTTTGGAAAACACATCCTCACCCCTTTCCCTTCCCAGCCTAATCAGCCGCTATACCCCATGAAATGAGCCTTGTTACATCCTCTACTACAACGCTAACCCCCTTAAACCCCCATGAAAATAGCACTTCACTGCCTTTGCAAATTAAGAAAGTCAGGAAGAAAAAAAAAAAAAAAAAAAAAAAAAAAAAAGTATTTCACGAACGGAAACAAGGAGAGATGGGGAAGGAGAGAGGAGAAGATGAAGGAGGAAAGATGCAAAGATGGAGGAGGAAAGGTGGAAAGATGGAGGAAAAGAGATAAAGAAATGGAGGAGGACAAATGGATGAGGTGGAGGAGGAGGAGGAGGACGATGACGTGATAACGACGTGGAGATAACATGTCAATTTGAAGTTTGAAATTCGCATGAAAAAAAAAAGTTGACAAAGTCGTGACAAGGAGGATGAGAGGTTGAGGAGGAGAGATGGAGAGAGAGAGATTGAGAGATGGAGAAAGGGAGATGGAGGAGGATAGATGGAGGAGGAAAGATGGACGAGGTGGAATGGAGGAGGACAACGAGAAAGGGTGGAGACGAGAAGGGGCAGAGGAGGAGATACCAATCAACTCCGAAGTTCACATGAGAAAAGTTGGTGAGACCTCGACGAGGAGGGATGGACGAGTAGCAGCAGCAGCAGGGGGGGGAGGAGGAGGAGAGGAGGAGAGGAGGAGGAGGTGAGGAGGACAAATGAAGGCGTAGGTGGACGAGTAGGATATCAGAAGGAGGAGGAAATACCATTGCAGATAGAATATGTTCGATGTCTCAATGATGCAAAAAACTAAAATAAAAAGTGTTGAGGCCGTAACAAGGAGGAGAGGAGATGGAGTATGAAGAGGAGGACATAGAGGAAGAGGGTGACGAGGTGGTAGGAAGGAGGAGGAGGACGATGTGATAAGGAGGAGGAGATACCACGCCAGTTCGGGACTTCAAAGTTCCCGTGAAAAAAGAAAAGTGACAAAGTCACTACAAGAGGGATGAGAGGTGGAGGTGGAGAGATGGAGAGATGGAGGGAGGGAGATGGAGTGGAGATGGAGAAGGAAAGATGAACGACAAGGGATGGAAGAGAGATGGACAAGGAGGAGGTGAGGAGGACGAGAGATGGATGAGAAGGAGGAGAAGGAGACGAGGATGATGACGAGATAAGGAGGAGATACCATGACAAATCGAATTCCAAAGTTTTCGGTAAAAAAAAAAAAAAAAATTAAAAAGTGACAAGGTTGTAACAAGAAGGATAAAAGGTGGAGGAGGAGAGATGGAGAGATGGAGGAGGGAATATGGACGGGAGATGGAGGAAAGATGGGCGTCGAGGGATGAAAGAGAGATAGAGGAGGAGGTGAGGAGGATGAGAGATGGATGAGGAGGAGGAGGAGAAGAGGAGGACGACGACGAGATAAGGAAGCCACACACTGACAGTTCAAACTTCAAAGATCCCGTTAAAAAAAATCAATACAAAATAATAATAATAAAAAAAAAAATTGACGAGGTTGTGACAAGAAAGATAAAAGGTTGAGGACGAGAGATGGAGAGATGGAGGAGGGGAGATGGACAGGAGATGGAGGAGGAAAGAGGGACGAAGAGGAATGAAAAAGAGATGGAGGAGGAGGTAAGGAGGACGAGAGATGGATGACGACGAGGAGGAGAGAAGAAGGATGATGAGATGAGAAGGAGATACCACGATAGATCGAGCTTCAAAGTTCCTGTTTTAAAAAAAAAGTGACGAGGCTGTGACAAGAAGGATAAGAGGCGGAGGAGGAGAGATGGAGAGATAGAAGAGGGGAGACGGAGGCGTGATGGAGGAGGAAAAATGGAGGAGGAGGGATGAAAGATAGATGGAGGAGGAGGTGAGGAGGAGGAGGTGAGGAGGAGGAGAGATGGACGGCGACGAGGAGGAGGTGAGGAGGAGGAGAGATGGACGGCGACGAGGAGGAGGAGAGGAGGACGGCGACATAAGGAGGAGATACCATGACAGTGATGAAGTCGTGATTAGGAGGATGAGAGGCACAGGAGGAGAGATGGAGAGGTGGAGGAGTAGAGATGGAGAGATGGACGAAGAGAGAAGGAGGATGAC